ATATATATATATATATATATCTTTCTTTTTTTTTATATATATATATATATATATATATATATATATATATATATATATATATATATATATATATATATATATATATATATATATATATATATATATATATATATATATATATATATATATATATATATATATATATATATATATATATATATATATATATATATATATATATATATATATATATACTATTATTATTACAAATATCACAAGAGAGTAAATTATTTTGACATTTATAATTTCAAATTTATGTTTACTACATACCATTCAGAACTTAAAAATTATATATCAATATTTTATATATGCTTTAAAAAATAATTATGATGAAAGAACACGAAGGACCTTTTTAGGTATGTTTACTCGAATCAGTTAATACTAATCATGACAATAGATAGAGGATTTTAATATTTAGATATTTAGAGGAAAATATATATTGCACCAAAATTTATAACGACAAGTAGCTTATTTTTTTAGGACAGCCATGTCAAAAATGGTGAGATAAATAATACTAAAAATTTATCCACGCAACCCATCAGGATCCTACATGTCCAACATTTGCAACAGAGACGAAGAATTGAGAATCATCATCTTCGTCTCTGCGCTCAGACACTGCACCTCAGTTTATATAATGTTTCATATTGATGCAAACTTATTTAATTTGCAGCACATTGTTATGCAACTGTTCATGTTCCAACATCTCCCACTGCAAGCTACAGATTTTGCACCATTTACAACTCAGGCCAGCCAGATTGAATTAAAGTACTGAAAGATCTAGCTGGTACTAGAAGTTGGGCTGGTAAGAACCATGGGGACTGAAGTGTAGGGCCTCCCTAAGATTCTTGAGAGCTTTGTCATATGATACGAATCCCATGAACCAGAATTCATGGTTGTCCATGGTGATGATTTGAATGTATTTCTCTGAAGGGTTCCTGGAGTTAGCAGAAGGATTGACTGCCCTCAGCTGATCCAGAGGCACAGCAATCTGCAAGTTCATGAAATTTGAAAATTTAAGAAATCTGCAACAGAGATTAAAAAATCAGAGCTCAATTGTGACTGAACAAATCCAGAAAAAAAGTTATATACTATTAGATGCTGCTGTCTAAAGAACCTGATGGTTTTTTCAACCTTGTGATATTTTATTTGTCAGAAATATTTGCATGTAGAATGGTGGAAGAAGAGTGAAAAGGACACTCCCTCATTGGTAAAATAGCCATCCGCACGCGATGGAGCTACCAATCAGGGGAAAACTAAATTGGTATCATCTGGTGAAGTTTTAGTTTCAGAATATATCCAATTTAGCAATCGGCCCAGGTTGAACTTAGTGAAAAAAGGACTAGGACTCTAACTAGCTAGGTGTTTGCCAAGGAATTTGATAATAGGAAACTGTAAATAGCTCCAAGAAACTTCAATACTCTGTTGGTTTTACCAACCCAGAATGGTTGGTAAAAACCCAACCCAGCTCCCAGCAAACTAAAAAGAAACTGAGAGAATTCAATCCCAACTGCTACAATACCTCTGTTTCATCCCCCTAGCATGGAAACCTTTTGTCATTGTAAAAGTGGGGGGAAACTGCTTTTCGACCCCCAAAACATCCAACAAATATTGGTGCCTTAGCAAACAGCCCTCACAAATACGCATCACAAGCATCTTAAACAAGGTGAAAATTGTACCAGCATCCCTACTATGAAATTGACCATTTCATTTAAATGTTCCACAACAATCGCTTGCCATTCCCCTACAGGCCTACAACAACATTCCAAAATCCTTCCCTGAACAGGAGAGATCCAACCCTAGCTCATCTGGGGTTTATAGAAGTCAAAAATTTACTAGATTCATACTATTGGTTTTCCTATGATATAACAATTCTGTCCTGTAACCAAAACACACCAGGGCTTGAGCCCTAGCTCATGTGTGATCTATAGATTGGCATTTTCTAGAATACAGTAAACTTATCCTTGCCTCCTAGGTTTATTGTGAAGCTTGTGTATCATCATTGCTCGATTATTTCTTCAGAGCTTGATATTCTAGTGTGGATAATTTTGCAAGCTTTAGTTGATTGCCACACTATATTCTACCTAGAATTCAGCATATTTGCATCTTGATCACAATCCATTGCATTAGTTTAATTAAAAGTTACTTTTTACTGAACATAAATTAGGCATCTTCATATATTCATTACGTGGTTAACCTATGCCAATTTGAGTAAATTATTGTTTATATCTTACAGTTCGCAGCTATGACTGTTCAAAACAAAACATTCCGTAAACAATAATAATCACATCATCTTTCTATTATCATGTGAGACATCTGAACATTATAGACACACTGTACTGCAAAACAAATAAATTATGTAGATTAGAGACGCACCTTATAATATGCCCACTCTTGTTGAGCATTGGAGAAATTAGTACAAAGAGGATTATCACTGCAAAATGCAATCCTGGCTGTGGATAAATACAGTGTTCCTATCACAGGACCTGCTGAAGTAGAGAGATAACAGGCATATGCTTTCCTTAGCTGCTCTCCTGGAAAAATACCAAACGCTTGCTGGAAAACCTTCTCATTCCCACCTTCTGCAAGAACTTTTGTTCCTTGTGCAAGCCTAGCCAAGGCTGCATCAGTGACATTGGGGCTGGTTTTAACTGTCAAACAAAAAGCATATGAGAACAATCAAATGACCATATCTTGGGGAACTTTCAACTAGTATCTCTACCAACTAAAACCCAAAATAGCAAGCAAAAGTTCCAGATATGTCTTAATTTGTGGTTTTTATACATCACTGCTTTATCTTAATGCCTTAAAATGGGAAAGAATTCATATCCTATTATCTTGAAAGGCGCTTAAAAAATGGAACACTAGGAGTGCTGGACCAAACTGAATGACGGAAGAAGCTAGAGGTAGTCATTATTTGGATTTTCTGAGATATTGTAGCTTAAAATGAATAGCCAATCAAAAACATTAACCACAGGAGTCAAGCTGTCAAATCCTGAATAAAATGCTATCACATACATGTGTCTTGAGCTTCATAGTCCATATATAATATCTAGATCAGGTGATCATCACATTGTTAATACATTGAGAAACTACTAGTACTAGGACCTCCTTAGTTGATCCAACAAAACGAATATGCTTAAGTATTATTTGATAAACTCAAATGAACCTGATAATATATGTTCCATACAACTAAACAGAAAATTTGTTGTCTTTGTTTAAGACCTGAATTCCAGCCTTGCAATGACATGCTAAATATATAGTTAACTGATTTTTGGGTTTGGTACATACTTTAACTAACTTTACTAATTATTTGTTTGTAAGTTCAGCTCAGTCGAGTTCCACAGTGAGAAATAAACTCATTTCCTTGCCAGAGTTAGGATGGTCAATCCGCTGATAGCAGCACATACATGCCATGAAAACCCAATACTTGTCATCTTAAACTCACACCAAGTGTGAAGCTATTCTTGATCCTTCCAAACGCTATAGACAGGCCATATAACATATAATTTCTCCTGAAATAGGTTGATATGCAAAGTCCACCTTTTTTTTCTCAAAAAAGGTGAGAAAATTATGTCTTCTGCAGTGTAAGTCTAACTCATTAAATACCATTTCCAACTTCATTTGTTTAATCTTGTCAAGATGCCACTTATTATTTGAATGACCATATATCATGGTTTTGTTGTGATGTCAATCAAAACACTCCTAATCTAGCAAAACCGCAGTACGCAAGAATCTAGCTCTCTGTTGACTAAACTCATATACTGCAAGTTTTGATTTCTTCAATATGCACTCATGATACTGAAATAAGTACACATTAAAGATGCTATCTCCTGCTGAACAATAGAAAGTATGAAATTATGCTATAGATTGAATAGATATGAGATAATCAACAACTTCATGAGATCATTTGTTACCAGGGCAAAATGTACTTTCCAAAAAGAACATAGCTTATCGACATTTAACTCCTCTGGATACCAGATCTTATTGGTCAACTAGTAACAAAATCATTTAACCCCTACAATTTCTCCATATAAATGCATGTAAAAAGATACATTTGGTCACTCTGGTGATTCCCCAGTGGCAGGTAACACATGCTCGAGATTTGAACCATGCAAAAATTGTACTTAATGCAGGAAACCAGGATGTAATGGGGAAAAAAGCATACGATGGTGCCAGACATTGCCAGCGACGTCCCCTGCCTTTCTGGTGGTGTCTTCCAATTTCTTCCCGCACCGCCCAAGCACCTTAAGGATTGTCTCCGATGGGCCTGGAACAAAGGAGCCAAACAATCGAAACTCAAGAAGCCACAGGACTCAAACAAAAAGACAGCACCGATAAGATATTCCACACACTCTTGGTAGGAACAGGGGAAACATTGACATAAGGGTTTCCACTGGCGTTGCTGCCGTGAGGAAAAGGGGAAATGTTCACATAAGGGTTGCCGGTCCCGCCGCCGTACGTCGAGGAGGGGAAGTGGGAAGCACCAGGGACGGAAGGCATGGCGCGGTTGGTATTGCTAGGGCAGTGCCCCGCCGAGGGCCCGGCAGACGACGACGTGACGTGATCGACGGGGACGCCCTGCCAGTTGCCCGGATTGGCGTGCGGCGCAACCGGCGTTCCCATCACCCAAGTCCCCGGCGTCGTCCCATCTCCAAGCTTGCCCTGGTCCATCAACAGGCAACCACCCGAACGAATCGATTCTTCTCCTTCCCGCAAGCGATGAGGAAAGCGACAACTCGATCGGGGTCAATGAGATCGATCCGGGAGCACCGGATTCGGTGGGCGTCTGTCGGATCTGGAAGTTGCCGTACGACGAGGGTTCGAGGCAAACCGGGCGTGCCGTCGCACCCCGCACACGGCGGATCCAATACTTGACCACAGACACCAAATGAAACCTGCCACGTCCTCTGTATTTGGTGGGCCCTCGCGTCTCGACTGACGTACGTTGAAAGCAGTTGAATCTGATGACGAATATAATGTTATGTCCAAATGTGCTTAGAGACGTGATGGTCACTTATACGTATATTATTTACATGCTGAGGCCACCAACAGTTGCATATTATTTCTTCCATTTACTCAATGCAATTATTTTGACAACATTTTTCTAAAGTAAATATGTTCATAAAAACAATCACAAAAGATAGATTCTATGTGTGTGTGTGTGTGTGTGTGTGTGTGTGTGTGAATTTATAGAATACTCATTTCATTTGGGTTCTTAGTTGGCGTGAATTTATAGAATACTCATTCTCATTTGGGTTCTTAGTTGGCCGATCAAAATGTTATCAAACATAAGCTTCTGAATCCTTACCAATTGATATGATATATTTTAGTGGCCTAGACACGACACCGCTGACACCACACATCAAATCGGAGCCCTACACCCGTCTCGTCCCGGGAGCTCGTACCAAGAAGCTATGCATCCCAGGAGCTTGGGGCGGTGCTATCTGACGTTGCTCTGTGCGTCCCGGAACGGTGACTGGTCAGAACGGTCTTCCCATCTCTCGGTGGTCAGCAACAGCAATGTCGAATCGACGCACCATCAGCCCTCGCGCCACAATCTAAAACCCCTGGTTGGCCTCCGACCAGTGGGAGGCAAGAAAAAAGAAGAAAAAAAGCAATCCCTTTCATTACTAACTTGCTCGTCGGAGGGGCCACGACCGAGAACCATCCGACGAAGGTCATTTTTACAGGAGGGCGATCACTCATTGATGGTGAGGGACTTGGCACGGAAGCACGATCTGCTCGACACCAAGGAGTCACCAATCAACCTCGATCCCGACCAACGCCAACCAGCACTCCTTCCAGAGAGCTCGAGTACCTTATCATTCAAATCACCAAGCTCCCGACATCCCGTGGACCTAACCGTGCTAACTCATTAGCCATGACATATTTGTTATCTAACACCAATTTCTGTCTATCATGTTTCTTCTTTCATGAATACTTAGATACTTTTCCTTCTTTGTTGGTTTTTGTTCCCTAAACGTTTAATTATGTTCACCTCTTTAGATCATAGAGAACATAGTTAGGCAAAGAGTAAGAAAGAAATGAAAGCAAGAGGGCTATGGAACTCTCTACAGGTATGCTCAAAGCACATTTATGGTTCTAACAAAAAACAAGACCTAATCCGAGCAAGAAATCTGGTCTCTCTCTCTCTCTCTTTTCTTCCTTTAGTGACTTTGATATTTTAAGCTCAAATCCTAATATTATTTATGTAAAGTTAATATAATATATATATATATATAATAAAAATAGAAAATAAAAAGCTAGTGTGATATCCAGAATCATACCCACATATGAAAGAGTGAAACAAGAGAGTAAGTTTTATTTTATTATTTTTGTAAGGAAAGGGTGTCACGTAGCAATGAAGAATGACTTGGGAACCACATTCCCAAGATTGTAAGACACAGCTTCACCAACCATGGGAATATAATGTTATATATATATATATATATGACTCGACCAGTACTTACGTAGCTCCCCATGAAAACCACTTGCTTAGATGTTAATTTCATGAGAGAGAGAGAGATTGTGCTATCTCTATCTCTTGTGCATGCAACAATGATTTGTGTGTACATTTCAGCTAATCAAGCAACATACGTACGTGCATGAACTGTAACCAAAACCATACGTATACTGTTGTCTCTTCCACTTCTGTTATACATGTCCGTGATGGCAACTGAGGAAGATAGAGAAGTCTGGAGAGTATAATTTGTAGCCCCAACACGTAGCTTCGCTTCACGACAAAACAATCCCCAATCTCTCTCTCTCTCTCTCTCTCTCTCTCTCTCCTTATCTGATTACCTTGTGAGTGAAGATAAATGGATCCAAGAAGACGAAAACTGGAGTCAAAGACAAGAAGACCCACCTTTCTCTTTCTCTCTCTCTTGCACAGCACACACACACACACACAACAAAAACGCACACATTTCCTGATCGACACGTTCTATTCCCTTCTCCGGGTTCTAAGCAAAGGTCACAGCCATCACTATCATCATTACTATGCGTCTCTCCTTTTCTTCCATCATCTTCGGCTTAATTGTGCACATATATATTCTTGACTCCTCTCTCGAACCACATGAAGTGATCCACACTGCAGCGAGACCTCGAAGTGGAACCCAGGCTTGGCAGGATGAGGAAGCCGGACGCTCCGGTGAAGACAGATGGCACCAGCACTAACAGCACCAACGACGGAGGCAGCAGGCTGAGGAAAGGGCTGTGGTCGCCCGAGGAGGATGAGAAGCTCATGAACTACATGGTCGGAAATGGACAAGGTTGCTGGAGCGAGGTCGCCAGGAATGCGGGCTTGCAGAGGTGTGGAAAGAGCTGCCGTCTTCGTTGGATCAATTACCTGAGACCCGGTCTCAAGCGCGGCGCTTTCTCCCTTCAGGAAGAGGAGCTTATCATCCACTTGCATTCCATCCTCGGCAATAGGTTGTCTTCACTTCATCTCCTCCATTCTATATGCTTAACTCATTCTGATTCCAGCATTAGTACATCAAATATGAACACATGCATCAGTGTTTTGATTCATGTACATGTACGAATAACTTGTGCAGGTGGTCTCAAATTTCGGCACTTTTGCCTGGCCGGACCGACAACGAGATAAAGAATTTTTGGAACTCCACCATTAAAAAGAGGCTCAAGAACTCGTCGTCCTCGTCCTCGTCGTCATCGTCATCGTCTTTCTTCCTTAACAGTGGAGATGGAAGCACTGTAAATGAACCTCAAATCCAGGCTATGGACATGGACTCATCATCATCTTCAGCTTCTTCATCGACGCATGGCTTGCCCACGGGCAACCACTACGACCTAGTGCCACTTCCTGAGGTTGGGCTAGAGAACGACTACTACTTGCATGAAGCTCGAGTCGGTACAGAGAATGGATACTATGGTGGGGGTCAGGGAATGGCGATGGAGGGAGGAGGCACTATGGGTAGAGGAGGCGAGCTGCTCTTGGTGCCCCCTCTCGTTAACACCAACCTGATCGTTGACGATAATGTTGATGTGAACGAGATCCCAAGTGACAAAGCAGTGGGAGGTGGATTGTTTTGGGAGGGTGAGAAGGTTAGAGTGGGGGAGTGGGAGTGGGAGTTGGAAGACTTGATGAAAGATGTCTCTTTTCCTTTCCTTGATTTCCAAGTCGAATGATGGGCCATTAATTCTTCAGATCTCACCTCCATCTTTCCTTGATGAAAGATGTCTCTTTTCCTTTCCTTTCCTTTCCTTTTGCGTTGCAGTCTAGCTAATTACGTAGGCTTCCAAATTCTCTGAAACCTCCTCCTACTCTTCGTTATGACTCCACAAAATTCAAACTTTATCCATATAGTTCCAGCAATTTCTATGAAGCTTGCTCTTCTAACTTCTACAATCTCTCTCTCTCTCTCTCTCTCTCTCTCTCTCTCTCTCTGCAAAATGTTCATCTTGAGAAGAACATTGTTCTCAAAGAAGCTGTATTTAAGTGGTGAGTATGAAAGAATAAAATGAAGCAAATGAGGGGTTGTGTACCTGTGGAAGAGTGTGTTGGTTGATATTTTACTAAATATTATGTCTTCAGCTATAATCACAAGTTTCTTCTTGAGTAGCTTTTCTCCCTTCTAGATGGGTCAACAGTAGCTTTTGAGCTGCTGTATTCCCTGTGACATCTGTTCATTATCATCATCATCATGGCTGTCATTCATAAATTGTTGTTCAAGTGCGCAATGATACCTTCTCATTCAATATAACATATGCAACATAGCCAACTAATGGAGCAATTATGACCATTTGGTCAGAGTGTAAAGGAGGTGGGGGGCATGAAAGCATGCTGTTGATGCTAATTCCTGATGGCAATTATAATTGTCATTTGGAAAGCAAGCGAATCTGGATTGAGACGTCCAACCGAAGTCAAGATCTGGTTTATTGTTGTTCTGGACCATGGAATCTCCAGGCTTTATTTTGGGGATATGAGATAGACTTCTCTTGTGGACATAAAAGGCTGTAAGTTAATCTCACATTACATTCTCAGATGTTGTTATTATAGGTGTGACTCTCTGAGGAACATTCTTAGATGAATGAATGATAGAATAACTGAAGTCCAAATTCCCCATAAAATTCAGACTTTGTATCTGAATAATTGAAGACAGCAATCCATCCAGTTCTTCTTCTCCCTCCTCGTTCTAGAGAGCTATGACAGTAGATAACTCATCTGTGTTTTCTATTTTGGAGTGAGCAAAATGTGTCGCTAATAAAGTACTTTATTGAGTTATGCTCATACGATCCCAAATTATGCTTCGAATGAGTGACAATGACAATGTATCCATTTTGTTTCTACGCAAGTCGTTACGTCTCGTATCGCATGAGAAAAATCAACTAAATTCATGATAAATTGTATCAGAACGGCTCATGATGAAAAAAAATTATCATGACTTTTGAAGTCGTATATAGTAACAACAGTAGACCAAATAGGAGTAGCAATCGACGGAATCCTATATCATTGTTAACAGTAATCAAAGGATCCCAATAAAAGAAGACGATATCCGAGGATAAAATGAGAAGAGCCGTGACATATAATACGCAACATCACAATGGTGGCAATTACAATTGAATTCAAATATCCATCAAGAAATTTACAAAAGTTGAGCATAAATTGTAAGAGCAACCTCAGGTTCGAAGTTGATAACTTCCGGGAATGTAATATCACAATCATCGATCGTTGGAACTCATAGAAGCCAAATCTTCAATAACCACATTAACTTATCATCAGGGGGGACCAATTTAACTATAAAGAATATCACATAACCAAGAAGAGAAGGGAATAGACAATTTCAAATATACAGATATGTTTTCATTTAGTTTTATCTACCGTGACTTTTCAGCTGCAAAGATCCATCTTTCATCAAATTAGATCTGAGGCTACTGAACCTTTCTCTTGAGTACTGCCTTGACGCCTTCCTCCAATCCGTGCCTGCCTTCATCATTGCTGTAAATTCCTCATAACTTATCCTCCCATCCTGGGATAAAAGGTCCAACATCAGCTCATCATCCATAACTATACAAATGTTGAGTTCTTGCTCTCAATTTTATTTAACTAATCAAATTCATTAAAAATAACTGCTGAGATCCATTAAAGACAACTACTGGTAAAACCAATTATTAATTCTTTTGATATTCTAATTGTCTGTTGAAGAAAAAGATGAATTTTGGTAAGAAATAGGTGTGGGGTGTTAAGTAAAAGCGATAAAATAACTGACCTTGTCCGTGTCTACATCACAAATAATAGCATTAATGACTTCTTCATGATCTGGACCTAAATCATCAGCCAAGGAGTTGCCGAGCTCTTCGATTTCTATGTATCCACTGTTGTTCTGATCAAAATATGAAAATGCTTTGTGCAGGTGCTCGTCGTTTCCCATCCTTCGTAAGTGAACAGATACAGCAACAAATTCCCCATAGTCCAAAGTGCCACTTCCATCGACATCAGCCTGTATGTAACAACATAATCTCAGTTTAAACTCAACAAAATATTATTCCCACTGAAAATATATGTAGGAATTAATTACCATACTATATCAGTTTACAAATCTGTAAGATAGCATTTCCATTGAAAAAAAGTATTTAGCCATTAATCAACAACATATCCTTCAATATTTTGTGCAGCCATCTCTGTTCCAATCTTCCAGCTATGTTGGAGGTGGTTCTACAATTGTACACTATGCAGTATATTTTGCCATCAAGGTTCGCATGGGTACACATGGTAATCAAGTCTACTTGACATGACCACAAATTGAATGCAAATGTGAAGTATATAAAAACAACTACGACTCTCAGATACTTACAGCTTCCATTAAAATATGGACATCAGCATCAGGAATCTGGTGACCGAGTTTAAGCAAACCATATTTCAGCTCCTCAAGAGTTATTTTTCCATTTTTGTTTATGTCCATCTTCTCAAACATATCCTTTATGCCTGCAACTTCCTCGACAGATAAATATTCAGCCACCACCTACGACAATGAATCTGAATGGGTCAGTGGCTGAATTATGCTTGAACAAGAACATTGATATAAGTATCATAGATAAATATCAGATGATGAAAATCCATTCATGCACAAGATCAAAAGCCAAAGGTGGATAAGCCTTGGGTGTTAACCAGACACAGTAAAAATAACATGAATGTTCTTACCTTTAGGGCTTTCTTTTTAAATTTGTTCATCACGGTGAACTGCTGGAGTTTCGCCCTTACATTTTCACCTAGACTAACATTAGGAGCCTTATTGGCATTCTGCAACCATGGATGATCTGCAACATCAAATATAAGAGGCATAATTCAATGATGCAATACATGCTATGAGAACCAGATTGATCAAAGTAAGAGACATAAACAGAATGAACGAATGCTAAAGATTACCAAGTACTTGCTCAGCTCTCAACCTATACTTGGGATCCGGATTAAGCATATGTCTCACAAGATCTTTAGCACTTTCAGAAACTTTTGGCCACGGATCTCTCTTGAAATCTATGACAGAACGAAGAATTGCCTGGGCAACACCTTGTTCGGTTTCTGCATATGCATAGATAGTTAGATAACTGCTCGATGTTCAGAAGCAAACCAAATCCACACCCAAGTTTTTTGATACACTTGTTGAGAACTCAAAATCTAAACTAAAGGAAAGCCAAAGAAGATCGCATAAAGCAATCTGATGGTTCATATCTTCTATGAAAGAGGATTACCAGCCCAAAATGGAGGCACGCCACAAAGCAAAATGTATAGGATCACTCCTGCGCTCCAAACATCTACTTCTGGGCCATAATTTCTCTTTAAAACCTCCGGTGCCATGTAATAAGGACTGCCAACAATTTCAGAAAAGTGCTCACCTGTGCAGGAGAAGAAAAATCATCATAATATGGAAACTGACTTGCCGGCAAGAACAATAAGCCCACCGGTCTCCTCAACAAATTATTGCTAATCAAGATTCAGGAACCACGTGCGTCTTTGAGTTAAAGGAAAAAAATGTTATCAGAGACAAAATACCAAAAAGGTATTCTTTCAATAATTTACCAGGTCTGAAAAATACAGACAATCCAAAATCGATTGCCTTCAATGGGCCATTTTCCTTTTTGTCCCCAAATAAGAAGTTCTCAGGTTTAAGATCCCTGTGCATAACCCCATGCTTGTGGCACACCTGAGATGACACAAAGCAAGTAAGCCTATGTCAGTATATTATAATTCACATTGTAATAAGACAATGATATCCAATAATAACACTACACAATAAGACCACTTCAAAAAAATATGGGTAGAATATAATCCCGTTACAGGTAAAGGAAACGACATCCTAATACAAGACAATATGCAGATTGAACTGCAGCTGATTAGAATATTCACACATTCATCAAACTGAAACTATAGTTGCCAAAAAAAAAAAACTTGGATAAAAGAAAAGAAGATAGAACCACTAAAAGTGAAAAAGTAAAAAGAATACACAACCATTTAACAGTGAAAATTAGGAGACATGAAGTGAATAACCCGAACAAATTCAGGACCAACATGAGTTCTATATACCTTCCACTTCTGCAATTGACAGCACTGTTTTAAATAGACCAGAATTACCTTATAGTAAAGCCGAATATTTGAGAGAGGTGATCTCATAAAAGTTAGTTTCACTAATTCTACAAATGGTCAGAAAATAAAATTTTGTTCCAAACCAGTTTATAAATTAACAGAAAAATGGAAGAAAGGAGCTACAGAAAAGGAGGAGATGCACTTCCGTAGTTTTTTTCAGAGATCAAGATGACAACAAGGCTTCGCGCTTCAAAGAACACATCACATAGCAAAATCTGATCCAAATGCTTCGTTAAAGGGGAAAAAAAAGAATGCCTAAGATGACTGATTAAGTGCAGAGACGTGACCTGAATGATTTGTATGATGGTCCGCATGATGATGGCCGCCGCTCGTTCGGTGTAATGCCCCTTGGTGACGATCCGATCGAACAGCTCTCCTCCCTCGCAGAGCTCCATCACAAGGTGCACGGCGCCGTCATCCTCGTAGGTGTCCTTGAGGCTCACGATGCTCGGGTGGCTAGGCAAATGCCTCATGATCTCCACCTCCCTCCGCACGTCCTCAATGTCCACCGCAGTGCGCAGCTTCTTCTTGGAGATGGATTTGCAGGCGAAGAGCTCCCCCGTGGCTCTGTCGGTGCAGAGGTAGGTAACGCCAAACTCGCCGCGGCCGAGCTCCTGTCCGAGCTCGTACCGGCTGCCGATGTCCCGGCCCGTAGGGTTCTTGAGAACGACGAGGCCACGGGCCGGCCCACGGTTGTAGTCGATCGAGTAGGGGTTCTGCCGCTTCTCCTTCTTGTTCTTCCTCTTCTTCTTCTTCTCCGGATCGGCAGGCGCTACGCAGCAGTTCCCCATCGGAATTCAGGCAATTTGGATCCTAAAAATCCAATCTTTTCAAGGCTTTTCTTCGAACACGGAGCTAAAAACTTGTCTTTGACAAGAACAAATCGGGGGATCCTACAAAGACAACAGCAAGATACGACCTTCCCATCAAATCTCGAAGGAACACAGCAAGCGACACAAGAGGACTCGCTGGAGTTCAAGAGTCGAGTTTTGTTTGGTTCCACGGGACCAAAAATAGAGACGCCAAGAACAAGCAGTTCGTTCGAGACAACTGTCGAAAGGCGGATTAGAACGACAAAAGGCTCAAATTGGCGGGATTAATTGGATGTTCATGATCATGCGACCCTGGGAGGAGCTCTTAGGAGGTGGTGGTGGAATAAGAAGAGGATTATGGAGGGAATTTAGGACGAGTTGGAAGAGGGAGGTGGAATGAGAGAGAGGGGGTCAAAGCCTCAAACCGACCGCTGTTCCTCTTTTGACTCTCCTCACCCCTCCTCTTCCCTTCGGTTTCTGCTCCCTCTCTTGTAAAAGGAGATGGAGGGGAAGGGGAAGAAGGACGATAAATCCAAAACTCTCCCCCTTTCTTATCTCCTACTCTCCAAAGATTTCTGTTTTGAAGACAAAAGAAAACAGGATTCTGTTCAGCAAACAGAATTTTGTGTCAAAATGCTTTTCTGGAAGCAAAACTTCCATTGTGAGGATATCCACCTAAAAATGGTACCTTTCAGATTCCTCTGGACTTTATCAACCCCAAACTGCCTTTTTCATGCAGACAATTTGGACCATCAGTTGGAGATGATGACATACTAGTGGCTATTTCATAACCATAAAAAATGGTTAACTCTAAAAGACTATATTTACATGCACGTTTTTCTTGTTTTTTGCAAAACCTAAATGCTAACTCTCTCTCCTTTTACTTCCGACAAAAATCTACCAAAAACTCTGTTCTTAGATAACTCTAAGCAACATTTATTTACATTTAAACATACAACAGAGATGAGCAGAAAAAGGATCCAAGCCAACTTTTTGCCATTAAAAGGACTTGAAGATGCTCTTTTTCTTTCATTCAACATATATGAACGCTTACCCTGGAAGAAGAGAATGAAAAAGTTGATCAATGGGATATACTTGTGCACTTCAGCTTTTGCAGTTCTACTGCCCATATTCCAATTACTGCTACACTTATGTTTTTCCGAGTAATATCACTCGTTTATAATCTGAAAGCAAAAGGGAACCCAAAAAGGTAACCTTATTTATTTGAAGCCTAAAACCTTGCAAAACTTGATTTGCTCACAAGATTTGGGATGAGGAGTAAACATATCACGGATAACAAAATTGTCACATCTAGCAAAAGAACTAGAACCGATAAAGAGTTTAGCTGACCAACTCAGGTCCTAGTTAAACAAGATGGCATAATAAAAATCAAATGCTTGGAGAAAGCCGACTTCCAAGCATTTAAGCTTCAACCTTCTCAGTGTCCTCAAGAAGTATAGCCTTTGTCGGCTTTGCAAGCAGGTCTGTGTACTCCTGGAAGGGAGATCTGCTGTAGCGGGTCTCTGTCCAGAAGTCGGGTGTCAGGAATCCATAGGTCTTCATGAGACAGTCAAAGGTAGCCTACAAGGCACAAAGCATCAAATTGTTTACGTCAAATGTACAATGTGGAAGGTGCAAACATTTGCTGGTATTTCACAAAGTCCATGTCATTGACATGTAATCCACATGATCTTGAAAAGGTTGTTGCAGACGTCAGAGACACGGGCCACAAACATGCTGAAACACCTAAAGTAAATCTTTGATGCAACATACAGAGAAAATATTTACATCATTGATTTCCAGATTTGCCTGATTTTAAGTACATCTACATATGTCAAAGGAGAAAGAAAATCATATGCTCTGCCATTTTTCTCCTCCAATTCCAAGGAGAAGGGAAAAAGAAGAAAAAAGATAGGTGTGATTGTCCAAATTGTATAATTCCAACAATGCTCCTGATTCATAGTGTTACTGTCCAAGATCAATCCTATATTATCTTATTTCTTGGTCTTATTATCAAATATCAAATATAATTCGCCGAAATCAATCAGACTCCATTGATGTCAACCTATGTTAAGCAATTAAACAAACTAAGAAAAAACGAAAACAGGAGAGGGATGGGAGACGAGGTCGACGACTATGGTGATGGTAGCCATCAGAGGAAAAAAAATGTAAGAGAATTTTTTTTGTGCACTTAGAATCCACTAAGCTGTTAGAATTTTAAGCTGGCAAGGCCCAAACTCGGCAATTTCAAGATGTTAATCAAATACGGTGAGTTGATGAGAATATTGATTTAGAGTATCAAGGATGACATACAAAAAGAATGTGCAAGAATTTTCACATGTTGATGTGGCCCAAATTTCTTCACTAGACCATAATATACATAACTAAATTGATTTTGTTCCAACAGATAAGAGCTTTGGTAAACATACTAAGAATGAGGGAACAAAAGATTTAGCTTCTCCCAAGTATCATTCCAAAATATTTCTTATATTGTTTTGTCGATTTAAACTAGACTAAATAATCCAACCTGAAGAGCCCTTTGTCTGACCATGAACACTTCAATATGGATCAAAGGGGCAATGTTGCTTCATCCTTGAAGCAACCTGTGGTTTCATTGTTAGTTTCAAGTCAAGCTACCGTTCGTAAAATAACCTATAAGACTTAACAATTGATATCCACATGCATGACGGCTCCAAGATGAATCTATGTTAGCATTTAACATTATCAAATGCAGAACCAACAATTGCCAATAGATATAACGCACCTCGACCACGATCCCTTTTATTGAAGACATGTGATCTATTAATAGTGCACCAAGAAACACTGACCTTCACAAAGTTACCGAGAGTCTTGGTCGAACCACGGGACGAGGTGAAGACGTCTTCGATCCCAGCAAACTGAAGCACCTTCTTCGGGACACGGGCAGCCACAATCCCCGCCCCCCTTGGAGCGGGCACCATCCGGACGGTGACGGACCCGCACTTCCCGGTGACCTTGCAGGGCACAGTGTGGGGCTTCCCGATCTTGTTCCCCCAGTATCCCCTCCTGACGGGGATCACCGAGAGCTTGGCCAGGATGATAGCACCGCGGATGGCGGTTGCGACCTCCTTGGCGCACTTGACACCGAGCCCTACATGGCCATTTGTGTCGCCGACGACGACGAAGGCCTTGAAGCGGGTGCGCTGGCCGGCACGGGTCTGCTTCTGGACAGGCATGATCTTCATGACCTCGTCCTTGAGGCCGCCGCCGAGAAGGGTGTCGATGATCTGGTGCTCCTTCACGGGAAGCGAGTGGAGGTAGATCTGCTCGAGGCTCGTGATCTTGCCCTCCTTCACGAGGCGACCGAGCTTAGTGACGGGCACCCACTTCTCCTCCTCGTCGCGCCGGCCGAAGCCGCGCCTCCCACCACGGCCGCGGTCGCCTCGGCCGCGGCCCCGCTCGCCCCTACCTCGGCCGAACCCGCGCCCGAAGCCACCACGATCTCCGCCGCCACGCTCCGCCATCCTTGATGAGATTAGGGTTCCTACGGTCTCTAATGCTTCAATAGAAAAGCGACTTTTATCGTGGAGGCGGAAGCGAAGTCTAGGGTTTGCGTTAGGGTCGCGGCACCGGTTGGTTCGATTACCGGTAGTTGATTGCAGAACTTAGCCGGGTTTTAAGTGGCTATGAAAACATTTAAAATAAATTTAAATTATCATGCAAAATGCCCTGAAAGAGTTTAAAAAAGTCTATGTTAATAATATGATATTTAATCGATACTAAACGCATCGCGTCATTTTAATCCTTTTTTTCGCATAAATCATTGATGTTTGTTATAATATTATTAACATTTTTATATTTTAATGATAAATTCTTTTTTTAAATCCCATTTTTTTTTCCTCACAAATCTTTTTTTTATTCACGCAACACGCCTTATTTTTTAAAAAGTAATATTATCCTTGATGTCTAATCGATCGTGTGCCGTTCACTATCTCCATCTTTTTCTTTATCTCTTATCTGTCACTCGAACTTGATGGGTGCTCTCTCATTTGTAAAAAAATTTCTCGTTAAGTCAAAGATATAGGATCGATCATTGGGATGGGAGAAGCCAACGAGATACTGATGATCAAGATCGACGAACAATTGAGACAAATAGATGATTTGGAATAAGGTGTGGAGTGAGAGTAGACGTGTCTAAAGAATGATGAAAATAACAAAAAAGTAACAATGCAAAGATATACGTAGACATATTATACGAGAGAGAAAGAGAGAGAGATACTCCAACAAGATCATTAGGTTGAAGTGGACAGTAATATAATAACAACAATGAATAAGAGATAAATATAATGGGATGAAATACGATGAAAATAACGAGATGGATGTTGAAAATAATCTCATATAATAAAAAAAAATATGTTTCGACAAAAATAAAAAATAAAAATATAAACTTTTGTTTGAAAAATTTGTTCATGATTATACAATCATGACGTAATTTTTATCCACACTCGGTGAGTTATGATTATTTATTGCTAGATTTCTTAAAATTGTAGTATTGTGAAGGTTTTGCTCCAACGTGGATTATATTTTTTAGATTTGCATAAAAAATTCTTTGAAAATAAAATCTTAATTAATTCTCACATTCCTTATAATTAATTTTTTGACCAACAAATGAATTAGTGTCGATACGATGATGGCAAGTTTTTTATATGCGTGTCATATCAATAATTAATATCAAATCTACCGAGCACTCTATAGCATTAAATGGATAAAATTCTTATCCCTCACATTAAATTGATAAGCATTCTATTATAATAAATATATGATATCATGACATGACATAACAATAGAAAAAAATAAAAATAAATATATATGGGAAAGAACGTTAGAATAATCACACGTTTGTTGTGTATTCGTTCGGCGATGATATGACAGGTTTTTTAAAGGCGTAATAATTTGCTATGGCATAATACGTTGACATCAGATGACATAATACAACAAATACTTTATCATAATGAATGTACGTGAACATGAATTGCATGTCATGTACTTGGATTCTTGGTGTTGATCAACGTATTTAATTAAACATTTATACTATAAGTTTTTTTTTCAGTGTAATATTTGTTAAAAGTAGCTTATTAGGAGGTTGTCGATTAATTGCATATATTTATATACCTTGCCGTAATGTTTTGCATACATAGGAGTCATTTAGGATTTAAGAATATGAAACTGTTATCAAAGTTGATTATCGATCCAACCTAACTCATTTTCAAAAATAATAGAGTAATGATTGATTTTAACCGATGTAATTTTGACTAACTATAAATCGTATAAATTTTTAATGATTTACTTATATCTAAAATAATTTTTATATATTTTAAAATATAATATATAAGTTCTTTTCGTCAAATATGAGTTAATAGACGTTAGAATCAATGATAATATAATGATATATATAATTTAAATTAAAAAATATTTTTATGATTTTGATCATAGACCACTAAAGTATTTATGATTATATTTATATTTAAAATAATTCTTATATTTTTAAAAATATAACATATAAATCTCTCTCATCAAGTTTAAATTAATAAACGTTTAAAATCTGCTTACATTGATACGTTGGTTAAGACCATAAATATTTAAATAAATCTTTAACTCAAAAAATATCATGTTAACATCATTGTTTTCTATCTCTTCTTATCGTTCCCCTAAAATTTAACATGAGTTGAGTGGTAGCATCAAGAGAGATACAAACATAACATATAAAGCAAGAGCTACTATCATTCTCGAAGAGGCAGTACACGACGACCAAAGAACATGATCAAATCGGCAATGATCCAACAACCAAAAGAAAAAGATGGGTCTCTTCTCGGTCTGCACTAATTATGACGATTGCATGCCCAAATTTAGGCTACACTTCCCACTTAATCACCTCTCCCTCCAAGGATTATTCTTCTCTTCCACACGTGCTTCGAGCGTGGCACCAATAGTAAAAGAAACAAAAGGCTGGTTTGCATCATGTGCAAGAAACGAATACGATACCAATTCCTCTTTCTTACACATACGTCTTACACACCCCTCCATAAAATGAGCTGCAAGTTTAGGATAAATCGAGCTTCTGACCCAATTTCAAGCTCACATCACATCACATCACATCACAACACAACTATTTTCACACATGTAGTGGGCCTTAATGCATGAATCCATTACGTGAAAATAAATGATCGTATGATTCATATAAATGAGACGGTAAGTGCATCTGATATAGCGTCCGACGAGACGTGATGTGACTTCCATCGTCCATGTCGACTACTTAATTTACCGAATCAATTATACATGAGATTAAATGCGAAAAAATGGCAAGCATTATGCTTTGTTAATGTCTAATGCATGGGGTGATTCATTTAAAAGATTTACGGAAATAAAGAAGGATGCAGGTGAGTCAAAAAGTCAAGCCTCGATCGCCTCAATGCTTCCCACGCAACGCTGTCAGAGGAGTCAAGGAAGTGCTCACCCAATCCATTACCATCAGCTGCCGTCCACGACGCACGAAGCGTCGCGCCCAGCGACCACTCTGCTGACGCGTGCGCCGGTCCTCCCCTCGGTTGGGCGACGTGGCGAAGGTTTGGTCGACGAATAAGTTCGTCGATGGACGCTATTTCATTTCCCTCTTTTCGTTCTTTGGAGAGCAACCTGAACTTAGCCCTCCCGGGCTACCTGCCTCGGTGTTGGAGAGCGCTGTGGTCCTTCCGGTTTCGTCCAGTAATAGGGCTGGTAGCCGAGACGAAGAGTAATTTTGTCTCGAACGCTCTCACCCAACCGCTCCACCGCTGCCACCGCCTCTGGTGGTCACGGAGTCCCCGAGGAAACGAGGGAATCTGGGAAACGAGAAACGAGGGTGGGGGTATTATTTCTATTAATGCTACTGTTACCATGGGGATGACTCCGTTGACCGATGTACGAAAGAGATCGACAGAAGATAAAGGCAAGAAAAGACGCGAAGGCAAAAGCTTAGCGAAGCGAAGCGAAGGAAAGAAGCCCTCTTTAACACGCCTCTCCTTCGAGAAGCCAAATAGATAGAGAGAGAGAGAGAGAGAGAGAGAGATAAGAGTTGTCTCGCTCTCCTTTCTTCGCACTTCTCTTTAATGGGTGGTAGCAGTGGTAATAATACGAACAATAATTTCCTCAACAACCCCCATCCTCGGCTCGCCGGAAACCTTCTCCCACCGCGATTGCCGCTGCCGGATCGACGTCTCCCTCCATTTTCCTCTCACGCTCAGGCTTCGATCCCCTGTGCCCCTCTTCTCTTCTGGAGAAATTAGGGATTCGGAAGGCCGCGGTCCCACCGCTGCTCGGATCAAGAGAGGTAGCTCGTCAACATTCGTTGGCTTGATGAAGCGGCCAAGATCATCGTCGTACGGGGAGGACTTCGACGACGGTAACGATGTGGGTGAGAAGCTCGGCTTTAGGGACTGGCCGAGGAGGAACCAGGATCCCGACCGCTCGGTTTCGTCGTCGCACCGAAGGCCATCCTTCTCCAAGACGGAGGGCTTGCGGAAGGTCTCGTCGTCTTCTTCATCGCACGATCGGCCTCTCGACGACGATTGGGAGCCATCGCGGCACATCCGGAGACGGTACGATCATGAGCCGGAGCCCTTCGATTGGCGGAAGAGCTACGATCGGTACCGGGATGGCAGGGACGGCGGGGATCGACTGATGCAAGCCTCGTCGCCGCGGGGCTCGTCGTACGGAAGCGACCGGATGCACCGGTCTGAGAGCTTCTCGGGGTTGAGGAGGGAGTTTCCGAAGGGTTTTAGGTCGGATAGGGACCGGTCGAGGAGGGAAGGGAATGCTAGCTCGTCGTGGTGGAGATCAAGAAGTTCCAAGGAGCTCAGTGCTGACGAGGTGCGGAAATCGCCGTCGGTTGATTCGGATTCAGTCGGGAGGCGGAGTCATGCGGCGTCGCCGGATGATCATAGGGGGAAAGTGAGGTCCAGGGACTCCCCCACCGGGGTGCAATCCAGAAGGGCTGAGATCCAGACCGTGAAAACATCGAAGTCATGCAAGGAGAGCGGCAGTAGTAGCGAAATGGAAGAGGGGGAGCTCGAGCCAGATCCCAAACCGGAACCGGAACCGGAACCTGTGGCTGAACCTTCTAGTGATAGTAAGGCAGCAACCGGATTGGAATCAGAGAACCACAAGGATAGAGATCCTGAGTACAATAGTCTTTCTGAAGAAGTTCCTGACCAGAAAGAGATCTTAGTGGATGGAAAGAAAGTGGATGTTGATGATAATGGTTCTGTTGTTGCGGAGGAGGAAGCGAAGTTAACAGATACTACTATAATGGAGACAAAAAAAACAGATGATCAGGTAAGAAATGATCAGGCTGTTGATAGTAGTCTGCTGGATGTGAGTAGCAAGTTAACAGATGCCGTAGTGGACGGAGGAAACATTAGTGATCAAGGAAGGAATAACCAGTCTACCGCTGTCAAGGAGTTGGATGAGGGTAGCGGGGAAGGTGAAGGAATGGCTACGGATGCTTATGGGGATAATGAAGTAGAAGGTAAATTTTGTGGGGAGAAGTGTGATGCTGTCAAGGAGCTGGATGACAGAAGGTGGGAAGGAGAAAGAAAAGCTGAGGATGCTAATGGGGATATTGAAGTGGAGGTTAAATTTTGTGCGACAAAGCAGGAAGCCTGTGGGGAAGATAACTCGTGCTCCCAGTTTCATGGGGAAGAACTGGCAGGCAATCATGAGGGGCAGGCAGTTGAGGAAGAAGCAAAAGAGATGACATCTGCTATTTCTCCTTTGAAAGAAGAGAAGTTAGTGGAGGATAGGGAAGAAGCTCGACCCAATGAAGCTGTAGTCGAAATTGAGCAGGCAGTTGAGGAAGAAGCAAAAGTGATGACATCTTCTATTTGCCCTTTGCAGAAAGAGATTTCAATGGAGAATAAGAAAGAAACCCAATGCAATGAAGCTAAAGTTGAAACCAAACAGAAGCATGAGACAGCCGATGAACAAGGTGTGGAAGCTGAAGATGAAATTCAGCAAAAACATGAGACTGGCGTGGAGTTTGAAGTTCAGCAGAAAGAACAAAGTGGTATTGATCTCGAGACTGAACCAGAGGGAACTAGTAGCTTGTTTGATCAAACTAGGGAAGTTACTTGTGAGATTAATCATGAGGTAGTGACACTGACACTTATGAGGGACCAGAGTAAGCTGAATTACAAGGACAAAGGTAAGGGACTTGCATTCTCTCTCTCAGCTGAAAGGGATTCTGTGGAAGATGATAATGCCATCGAGGGCTTTAGCGGAAGGGGCTTCGAATTGGTGTTCCGATCTGACACTGGTCAACCAGAAAAAGCATGCTCTAGTGGGATTGTTGCCCGCAGACTTGAAGATGACAATCTCAAAATTGAACCTCTTGATCTCTGTCTTGCTTTGCCAGGTGGTTTGTTTGATCATTCTTCAAAACATTCAAAGCCAAAAATCGAAACCCTGAGCTGTGCCAGGGACATACAGTCTTTGCCATCCTCATTCAGAACAAATTCAAATGGATTTACAACTTCGATCTCATTCACAAGCTCTCAACCCTTTGTTCATAATCCTAGTTGTTCTCTCACACAAAATTCATTGGACAATTATGAGTACTCGGTTGGTAGCCATCCAATATTTCAAGGAGTTGATCAGGTGTCCAGTGGTACAATATGGCAAGCTCAGACTTCAAATGATTCTAAAATGAAGGGATCTGTCCCCCTCTACCAAAGGGTATTGCTGAATGGTAACTTATCACATAATTTACGTAACACCACGAATGGCCAACATCAATCAGTGCCCACTTGCATCCAGCAGTCAAGCCTTCCAAGACAGATGTCCCCGACGGACAGCCATGGTTCTCATGAGACTGGATCACAACTTAACAAGGACAAGCGGCTGCTTATGGGGGAAAGAAACAGCAGCAGTTTGTGTAGGACCGAGAAACGGGATGGAGAGCAGCTCGTCCTTAATGGTTCTGGTGTTACAGAGAAGATCCTTTCCAAGATTATGGCAGAACCTTTGCAACTTAGTGGCAGAATGCTTCAGGAAATGACTGATCAGTCAGTAGCCTACCTGAGGGAAACCATTTCTGAGATGCTAACTGTTACAGATAAAAGCAGGCAGATGCGCGAATTTCAGGAGGCACTTCGAAGGAGGTCTGACATGACAATGGATACATTAATCAACTGTCCATGTGTCCTCCTAGAGATTCTGGTGGCCATAAAAACAGGTCTTCCTGATTTTATTCGGAGAACTACTAACATAAAATCTTCCGATTTGGTTGAGATATTCCTGAACTTGAAGTGCCAGAATCTTGCTTGTCGGAATTCCTTGCCTGTGGATGATTGTGACTGCAAAGTTTGCATAGACAAAACTGGCTTCTGCAGTGCTTGCATGTGTCTTGTGTGTTCCAAGTTTGATAATGCATCAAACACTTGTAGTTGGGTTGGCTGTGATGTATGTCTACATTGGTGCCACACAGATTGTGGATTACAAGGTTCTTATATTCGAAATGGGCTTAGCACGTCGGCTGATGAAGGAATTACTGAGATGCAATTTCACTGTGTTGCTTGTCACCATCCTTCTGAGATGTTTGGCTTTGTCAAGGAAGTTTTTAAAACCTGTGCTAAGGATTGGAAAGTAGACACTCTTGCTAAGGAGCTTCAATATGTCAAAAGGATCTTCTCTACCAGTAATGATTTACGGGGTAAAAGATTACACGATTTAGCTGATAAGATGCTGCTGAATCTGGAGAAAAAAGCCAGTCATTCTGAAGTTGTTATGCACATTTTGACATTCCTTTCCGGTAAATTGTTTTGCATCTGCAACATCACAATTCCAGTTAATTTTGTCTTTCTTTGATGCATATCCAGTTCATAACATTATCTTATGTGTCCTTCGTGTATTTTGCTGGGATTGTAGAATACTTCACATGCTCTATAGTTGAAAATTCAACAACATCAAAGGTCTTGGTGCTTGTCATACATCTTGTATCTAAGGATAACTTTGAAATCTGTTGCGACACATGCACCTATTCATATTTATGAAATTGTCTTTACTGAGAAAAATATGACTATAAGCTTAATAACCTGACTGGTCTAACAAGTGTTATATTTTCTGTTAATGTTTCAATTTATAATGAAGAATAAATTATCTTCACTTCTCCCATGTTCAATTTTATCTTCACTTGTTAAGCTTTGTTCTGTACTGATCATGTAATTTATAGGTGGATGCAACTTTGTTGTCCTTAAATCAGAACATCAATTAGTTGTATATGGAATGACTTTTTGTGCTGTACTTCACAATTTGTTACTCTATGGTTTTATGTGTACTGTTGCAACACATAGTTTATAAATGTTAAGGACATTTCAAGATTGCCATCGTTAAGGATTTGCTATCACTGAGCTGAGTGGGAGGACATGAATTTTAGTAGTTAAACCAAATATTTAGTTTCTTAAGGCTAACTTATATCTGTTCATTTATTGTCTTTATTGTAATTACTGTCAATATCTGCTGCTTTTTTTTTCCTTTCACTGGCTTGATTTAAAGCTCATCTCGTATGATCTGATTGAAAATCAATTTTTGACCGAGCACACTGAACTCCTGAGTTCCAACTGAAATCTTTGGACACCTAACTGTTTTTTTTATCTGATCAAATTTGAGGGTGGTTGGTTTTAGCCATTTTTTCAGCTCAGGTTTGGTTGAAGCTGATTGTTCCCGTTGCCTCATCTTTTGATCATGCATTCTTCCAGAACTTGATAAAAAATGTGGCTGTCATAAAATGATTGAATATCAGCCTGTTCAGATATGGGTTGTTTTGGATTGTAGGGGAATCAAACCAAGACTAACATGCGGCTTTTCCATTCCTCATTTATATAATTAATTTTCACACCCCTAAATAGAAATCATGACTAAATCTGAATGTATAATTACACAATAATATAATTTTTAATCCTAGTTTGAAACATTAATCATTACCATACATCAAGCATTAAAAATTGAGTCTCATGTACCTATGTAACTTATTGAAATATTGTAAACTGTTAGAATAACACAGTTAACTAAAATGCACCCTGAAGAACAGTGAGAACAATATAGTATTATTGCATATGTTTTTGTGTTCAACGTTTGCTAGATAATGGCAAAAACTACTTATAAAATTGTTGAGGTTGGCTTTTTTTCGGAGTGGGGTGTGGCTGGCTTGGCAAAGAAGTGGTACCATCCCCACTTTTTTTTTTTGATTGATTTTTGAAAGTTACGTTCCATCTAGACTCCACATTCTGGTCAAAGCTTGTCCTTGATAGTGGGATTTGTTAGTCTTTAATAGTTGGTGTTTCCACTTGCCACTTCTATGTTGGTATTGTATGATCAGTGATCAATGATGCAATAATTCCTTCGGCTTTAGTATAGAAATATTCTTGTCATATAAATGCTCTGTATGTGTAAGGTTGTATTTTTCTCTTAAAACGATGGTTGAGTCTCTTGCAGTGTTGAAGGGTTTAAGACCTTTTTTGTGTTTATCTCTTTGTATCTGTAGCATTAAGACTTCTAATGTCAAAAAAATTACATATAAAGGTGTGAAAGCTTGGCCAATTAGGGACGTTCTCATCTTTTTATTAGTAAAGTCAAGTCTATAAGGTGCCATCATCTTACATAGGTTCCATTCATGCTAGACAACTGATAATATAAAAATATAATTAGCTTTGAAGTTCCTTATATGCAAATGTTTCATGCCCCTTTCCATATTGATTTTGCTACAATATGATGACTAATTTGGCTCCATATGACAGGGCCAGTTAACAGAATTACTCCAGTGCATGCTTTCCTTTTCTACACTTGTTTAATTTTCAGCCTCTCAAGACATATTGACAACTTGTACTTCTTGAAGTTCTTCCATTTTATCTTATTTCGTCTTTAACTCTGAAAATGGTTGGAGAGCTTCTGGACTAATGTTGTCACTTTGGGTCTCTTGATTAATTTGTTAATAAAAAAAAAGTTACCAAACACATTCAACAATCAAAACAACAATAATTAAATCTTAAGCCACACTGAGTTTTACTGTGTCTGCCGACACTATCCTTCTCCACTAGCTACCTCCCATGAGACATGAGGCGAAGTCTCCAAGTCCTTAGAAGCTTCTGCTGATGATTTGGTGCATCAACACACCAGCAAACATGATAGGATCCCCTTTAATCTGGCATAATGTTCACCTGGGTTCTAACACCACCAATTGAACTCAATTCTCTACAGTGATTGGTTGCTTGAATAGTTCTTTTATTTCACACTTCCAAACCACATAATCCAACTGATATTTAGTCTTAATTCACAAAATAAAATGTGTTTTATCTGCTGTATTTGTCTACTAGCATATGCATGAAAAATAGTGTTTATATCTAAATCTGGATTTTTTACTAATTGAAATAATAATCTCTCTGATGCATTATAAATTTTATTTCAGATAGTGAATTTAACCTCAGCAGTGCTTCCGTCTCTACACCTAAGGATTCATCCAGAAATGAGGCTGGCCAAATCAATGTAGCTTGCTCTAGCAAAGACTGGTTACCATCTGTTCCTTCAGAGAAGGCATCCCTTCTTGAAAATACAGGACTTGTTTTGAGCATGGGTTGTGACCAGGTCGGCAGAAAAGCTAGGGATGTCGAGCTGCAAATGAGCCTTGAAAAGAAGCCAGTTGTTGATGAGCTGGAGAGTGTCATAAAGTTCAAACATGCGGAGGCAAAAATGTACCAAGAACGTGCTGATGATGCAAGGAGAGAAGCCGAGAGCCTAAAGCACATATCAATAGCCAAGAATTCTAAGATTGATGAAGACTATGCTAGTCAAATTGAAAAATTACGATTGAGCGAGGCAGAGGAAAGGCGCAGACAAAAGTTTGAAGAACTACAAGCTATCGAGAAGGCACACCGAGAGTATTTCAATATGAAGATGCGGATGGAAGCTGATATCAAAGATCTATTATTAAAAATGGAAGCTACCAAACGAAATTTAAATACATGACTGTGATTCAATGACCAACAGTTTGTGGTACTTGGCTTTCTTATCGGATGACTACAGCTATAGGTCAGCCACATTTGTAGGATTCTCACATTAAACTTGTAAGTTGTAGGAGTTTTAATCTTTCTACTCTTTGTCATGCTCTCCTTTTTATTGATTATCTGTATGATGTAAGAATAGCTATTCAAATGAAAAAAAAAAGAGAAAAAGAATGATCCTTGTCATCTGGCTAACCGAGTATTAATCAAAGTTGTTGTACTTCATGTGAGTTGGTCTCCTGTGAAAATCAGTTTTTGTTTAGGTATACTTTGCTCAATTGACTTGGTTTGATGACAGTCAACATTCTGAATTTTCCTTACTTTCTCCTTGGCGACCTTTTTTGCTGTTTACTTTGGTTTCATTTTAACACTTATCTTTCAATTAGATATATAAAACTTTGTTGCTTTATGCTACTCATGTTGTTCTTATTTTTTTTGTTTTGGTAATGTTATGCCAAGACTATTCTTATGTCTTTCCATTATTGTTGTCCTAATGGTCCACTTGTTTGGTGCGACAAGAATGAAGTAAAAAGAACAATAAATTTGTTTTTCTTTGTTTGTTTGTTTTACACCATTTTGCTTCAGAAATAATGTTTTCTAGAACTTGGTGCTTAATATCATTTTGGAAGATATACGATGTCTGTTATAGGTTCTAATTCTGTTGATGTGTTTGGATAATTACCTCCTATTGAAATGTTGATAAAATGTCAATAGGAGAAGTAATGGACTAAGATAACCTCATCCTGGTTTGGATAATGGTTTACAGGTTCTTTTGGCTGCTATGTAATTATGTGGTATATTCATTTATGTCTTGCTAGAGACAACTCTCAAGCATTTGTTACTTGAGGGTTTCTGGATGTATATGCTATGGTAATAGCAGTTTCCTTGAACCGGTTGGGAGAGGAATTACATCCAGGTATTAACTGAGAGGAAAAAAAAAACTCTATGATCAGTTGATGCTCCCTTTGAAATTGGTAGATGTGATTGCTCTTAATTTGATTAGTGATATTGTCCTACATAGAGATTGATTGCAGGAAAAGGTCCCAAGTAGTTGGAACATTATGGATGGTCATTGTTGTTGGAATTGTTCAGGTGGATTATGTCATTTGAATCCTATCGTCTGTAACCTTTTCTAGAGTGATCATCTGCAGAAAATTTTTTCCTTTTCTTCTTATATATATACATTTATTTTCCAACTGATTCTGTCGCGGAATTTCCTGCTTAGTTTTGACAATATATCATGTCCATCCAATACAAAATTTAAGAATTACTTGTATAGATTAGAACTGTTCTTCCACATTGAAAATGATTGATTTGCTACTTTTACCATCTATTAAGTTCTGATTGACCTTAAAAATTGCCTAAAATGAAATTTTGTCTCAAAGATTGAAGTGCACGAAAGGCAACCATTTGTAATTTGGGACAACTGGAGTTGTTGGTACAATTTGTCCAGTTTCCTATTTGCCTCTTTCCATCTTGCTTTTTGACGAGTATCCTTGACCAACAAAGACAGCTAACTTTAATATGGATATTGCAATTGGAGTTGGATTATATGTCAAAGGCAACCTGAAGCTGTAAGCCTATTTTAGGATACTACTTCTAAGGTTCTTTTAGTTTGACTATCCTTTTGTAATTGGCTTGACTTTACAATTAAGGAGTTGACTCCAAAGTTACAAAGCACCTCATATTGCTAGCTGTATCCATATCGAGATATTTTGTATATGATACTTGTACAGTATGCATAAGATATTTCATCTAAGTTCTTAATACTTAAATAATTAGTAAACTTATGCAACTAAAATGCTATGAAGATGCTTAGGACATAGGTCATGAATATTTCTTGAGAAAACAGTCTTTTGTAGATATTAATTATTAGATAGATTGTTTTGCATAATTTTTGTATTAGTGGAATGGTCTTCATTTACGAAAATTTCTTGTTGCTTTCTCTATAATCTTGACATATTATGTTAAAAGAAATTCTCATTGATGAACGAGGTAGATGTGCTTATCATGAATCATGTTATATGACTAGTTCTTGCAATCAATGTGTGTCAAACATTGTTGTATTTATTACATATACGATTTGATTTTTAATTTCCTTATGAATACTGTATCTTATGGTGCCTTACCAAGTTTTGATGTTTCTGTGAAACTTGATTTGAAGCCTGCTATTGATGTAAACCTATTGATAGTGTATTGCTGCTACCTTCAGAAATTTTGTAGAAGAATATGAAGTTGGTAATCGTGGTTCTCTTTAATTGAACTTGTTGGGTCAATCAGGTCAATTTTAAGCAATAGTTGTTGTCACAATCAGGATTTATAGGATGGCTCAGTAGGGAGTATCTGCAGAATAAAATTGTTTTTGACTTGCTATCCGTCCAATTGATAGTAAGACTCTTTTTGGAAGTATTTGTTGTTGCAAATTAGGATCATAACTATATCTCTTGTTGCTTCACAAATCACTTTTGTTTTTTCACTTTCAAATGTGAATCATCTTTTCATTTTGAGTTACAAACATTCAGAATTAGCCCGAGCTGTGCTGATGACACATTTTAGTTTCCAGAATTCATGTTTCAGTCAAGAATTATCTGATTAGGTTTGCTATAGAATGGATTTGGTTGTGCAACGTGCATACTTGTATCATAATATGTGTTTCTCTGAGAACTCTTTTGCAGGTCATCGTAAAAAAGAGACATTAGTTGTGATTTTTGATATTATGTATTTTGTGGGAAATGATAATGAGCGCAGGTAAGGTTGTATCTTCCTATGAATACGACTGTTTAGTATGCTTTACCGCTTCGTTTCTTTCCAAACATACATATTTATTGATGTCAAGAATATTAAAAATATTATACGTGTTTTGTATTTTTTTATATTTTAACTCAAACTAGCCAGCAGGAATCATGGTAGTTCGTGAGAAATACAAATTTATTTTTATCTGGAGTAATAAGTAAAATCGACAGGCATGTAGAGGCAACGAGCCCGGTCAGGTGATCACGTCTTCGTCTACTACTGAACCATGTTGCACATGCTCGGGTGCATGACGCACCACAAGGGCTGGATGGGCTCCGCTGCGATCCCCCTCCTCACCATCCGCTGCCGCCACTCGTGGAGCCGGTCCGTTGCCTCCGCGTACCGCTTCCTCCCGTCGCCGTCACGGTTCCCCGACCACAGCGCCTCCGCCATCGCCGCTGCCCTCGGCCACAGCCGTCCGTCCATCACCGCCCCGTCCGCCTGCTCCGACCACAGCGCCACCTCCCCACCCAGCACCAGCTCCGCCTCTGCTGCGCTTAGCCCGTGAGTGATGTCGTAGTCGTACACCCGCTGCCACGACTTGAAGGGCGCGCACCACGACCCGCCGTCCCCGCCCGCGTAGTTGAATGGTCGCCCCGGCTCGTCCCCCGTCTGCCGGTCGTATCGGCTGTCGTTCCCCACCCAGCCCCCGAAGCCGCAGTCCAGGTAGTAGAAGTCCGACGACGAGACGATCACGCGGTACCCGGCGGCCGTGAGCCGCTTGGTGTTGTTGGGCCCGTTGTTCCAGGTCTGGAGCACGGTGGTCTCCGGCGGCAGCAGCCCTGGGGACACCACCTTCACGGTAGAGCCCAGGAGGACGTCCTCCCAGTAGACGACAGTGCGGTTGAGGGCGGACACGATGAAGGGGCGGGTGGCGTTGACGAACATCCCAAGGAGCTGGTCGTGGGTGCCGCCGCCGGCAAGGAACCGTCTGATGGCCGGGTCCTGCTCCCAGCACGCCGGGTTCACCTCGTCCGCCCCTGCGTGGAGGAAGGGGTCCGGGAAGAGGGAGGCCACTCCTCGGAGCACGTCGCGGACTACCTCGTACGTTTCCGGCTCGAGCGGGTTGAGCTGCCCCGTGCCAGGTTCTGCCGCTAGCGCCGGACCGTCGGGCGGCGACCAGAACTTGTTCGCGCACGTCACGATCTCCGGGTAAGCCTCCGCCCACGACGCCGTGTGTCCTGTGCGTGCGCATACATACATTCCATTAGTCCAAATGCAGTCATTCCCTTCTTGCAAGCATAACAACAAACGTCGAGCGGGGGATGGATCGCCCACCGGGGGCGTCGATCTCGGGGATCACGCGGATGCCACGGTTCATGGCGTAGCGGACGACGCGGCGGACGTCGGCAGGGGTGTAGCGCATGTCGGGGCCGTAGGAGCCGCGGAGGGCGAGCTGGGGCGCGGAGGGGAGGAGGAGGGGGAAGGACTGGGAGTCCGTGATGTGCCAGTGGAAGACGTTGAGCTTGTTGTGGCTCATTGCGCGAATGGTGCGGAGGATGTCGCGGACGGGGTAGAAGTTGCGGGAGGTGTCGAGAAGGAGGCCTCGGTGGGGGAAGAGGGGGCGGTCTTCGATGCGAATACCGGCAGCGACTGCGGGCGGGTTGCCCCAGGCGAGCTGGGACAGAGTCTCGAGGCCGCGCATCGCGCCCCAGGGGGTAGCGGCGGAGAGCTCGGCGACCGAGGACGAGCCATTCGCGGTGATCGAGAGGGTGTAGGACTCGTCGACGCCGTGGCGGAGGGGGGCGGAGGGGTCGACAACGGAGAGGGCGAGGGAGCTGAGCGGGGGCGCGGACGAAGAGAGGTTGAGGTGAGGCGGGCGGAGGGGGCGGTAGCGCTCGAGCAGGAGGAGCCGGGTGTAGCGGGCGGCGGCAGCGCAGAGGTAAGGGTGTTCGCTGTATGGATTGAGGACGCGGAAGGAGGGGGAGAGGGGGACGGCGATGGCGGCGGGGCCGGACCACGACACAGAGATGGGCTTCGGCCACACGTTGATCTCGATCAGGGGCGCCGCGTCGGAGGAGGAAACCAGGGAGATGACGTTGACGATGACGACAAAGACGAGGAAGAAGAGAATGGAAGGGGTCGACTCCATTGTCGACCCAACACTGTTGCTTGCAACTGCGGAAGGTGGAGATTGGGAGGAGGGGGGGCTTATAGAGGTAGTTAAGGGGATGTCGATTTGGAGCTATATAATTGGCAACTTGTGATTGGATTTTACGGTTGTGTTCTTCTTCTTATAGCATTTGGAATTAGGTTTCTTATTATGTTGTTGGCCAATTAATCTCGAAAGCAAAGGAAAAGGTTGACATTTGGCGTTAGAATCTGTCAAGCGTGGCAATATCTTGGGGAGGTTTTTCTACGATTATCCGTTGGACCTTTTAAGCACTGTTGATGGTGAGACAAATACTTGGCCATCTAGAGAAAGACATTGACAAAATTATATTATATATATAT